ATTTTGGTCAATGACATGAGACAAAGTATATGTGAACTGCTGTATGAAAAGTGAATTTACTCTGTAAATCTTCACCCAAATCCTAATAAAAAATAGAATAAAAAAAAATATATCTTTAAAAGCCATATAAATAATGGCATTTGTTCTTGGAAAATATATTAAATAGCTATCAGTTTTGTGTCTAGTGTTCTTTAGATATTTAATTCCCTGAGAAGGGGTACAATACTAATGAATTTTCACTTACTCTTGTTTTTCCCTACCAGTTGCTTTTCGACTATATGATTTGGATAAAGATGACAAGATCTCCCGCGATGAGCTATTACAGGTATGTGGGAGAGCTCACATGCATATGAATAACTTACGTTTAGGCCCTGCCTGCATATTCACATGGGCAGAATATAGCCTTTAACACCTGCTGTGTGCAGAGTCCTGTCCAGTTATAATGCAGAGCAGATGATCTGGGGAAACTTAAAATAGCTCATTAAGTTCTCACAGACAGATACCACCATTATTTAAAAGCTAGGTAAATGTCTTTTAGGTGCTCCCTGGCAGAACTAAAGTATGCAAGATGATTTAGATCGAATAGTTCAGTTATTGCTTGTTGACAGCCAGGTAACTGATGATACTTAGGTAAATGGTGCTGTTTATTCTGTCCTTGGGCTTGACGTAAGAGTCAAGGAACTGCTACAGTGCTGATGGGCACTGACCTTACTGCTCGCTCTCCTTTGTTGCTTCTGGTGGACAACTGGCCCCCTTTTAGCAGTGATTGGTATTTCATCCTATTATCATCACCCTTCTCTTTGCTTCCTCCCACCCTTTTCCCCTTCTAAAATTTAAAGAAGTTGTTTGTTTGTTTTTTTAAATATATTTACTATACCAACACATTCAGGAGTATGGAGAAATTCCTTTATTTCAAGATAAAGTAAAGTGGTTTCCACTTAACCCTGAAGTAAATTTGAACTCATTCAGTATCTTGAGAAGCCTTTCAGGTTGAGAATTACTCGGGGCAGAACCACCCAAAGTATTCTTATATTTCTATGTCTAAGAAAAAAACAGAACAGTCTGCAGGTCAGTCTAAGTGTCCCTTGCTTTTTGTGCATGTGTGTGTGTAATCTTAAATTTGTTTTATAATACACATTTATAAATTTATAATAGATCCCCTTCCAAGTGGATGACAGTGGTAGCCGGGCACCATCTAGTTCTTCTGGTCTCATAGTCATATAGGCTGCAGATAGGATGGTGTACCTAGTGAGGACTAATTGTTTCCATTGAATTTTGGTTTTCTTCATTCTTCTTTGCTCTGGACGAAGAGAGGCCCATCGTTGCATCTAGATGGCAGCTTGCTAGCTTTTAAGATCGCAGTCGCTGCTCACCAAACTAGGAGGTAGAACAATGTTTTGTATAATATGTTATGCCAATTGAGCTTGATGTCCCCTGCGACTATGGTCTCAAGCCCAAAGGTTCAACTACTTGGTCCCTCTGGGTAGCTGGCTGTGACCAAGCAGTGACCACAACCTTGCCCCTTGTCAGCTCTACTATACACCTGGGAATTCTGATCATTCAAGGAGACATCTTTGCTCTTCATCACTTGAAAGAGGTCCTTTGCAGCAGATTTGCCCCACGCGATACCTCATCTGATGTCTTGACTGTTGTTTCCATTGGTGTTGATTGTAGAGCCAAGTAATATGAAATCCTTGACAACTTCAGTCTTTTCTCCATTTATCATAAAGCTATTTATTGGACCAGTTGTGAGAATTTTTGTTTTCTTTATATTGAGGTGTAATCTGTACTGCAAACTGTAGTCTTTAATCTTTATCAGTGAGTGCTTCAAGACATCCTCACTTTCAGCACGCAAAGTTGTGTCATCTGTGTATCACAGGTTGTTAATGAGTCTTCCTCTAATCCTGATGCCATGTTCTTCTTCATATAGTCCAGTGTCTCGGATTATTTGCTCAGGATACAAACTGAGTAAGTATAGTGAAAAGATACAAACCTGACACACTCCCTTCTTGATTTTGAACCATGCAGTGTCCCCTTGTTCTGTTCGAACAGTAGTTTCCTGATCGATGTACAGGTTCCTCATGAGTACAATCAAGTATTTTGGAATTCCCGTTCTTCTCAATGTTATCCACAATCTGTTATGATCTACACAATCGAATGCTTTTACATAGTCAATAAAATATAAGCAAACATCTTTCTGGTATTCTTTGCTTTCAGCTAATATCCATGTGACATCATCAGTGATATCCCTGATTACACGTCCTCTTCTGCATCCAGCTTACATTTCTGGAAGCTCTCTGTCAATATACTGCTGCAACCATTTTTGAATTATCTTCAGTAAAATTTTACTTGCATATGATATTGCTCGATAATTTCTACATTCTGTGGGCTCACCTTTCTTTGGAATGGGTACAAATACGGATCTCTTCCAGTCAGTTGGCCAGGTAGCTGTCCTCTAAATCTCTTGGCATGACCAAGTGAGTGCCTCCAGGAGGGCATCCTTTTGATGAAACGTCTCAATGGGTATTCCATCAATTCCTGGAGTCTCGTTCTTCACCAATTCCTTCAGTGCAGCTTCGACTTCTTCCTTTAGTACCATTGGTTCTTGATCGTATGCCACCTCCTGAAATGAAGATTGACCAGGTCTTTTTGGTACAGTGACTCTGTGTATTCCTTCCATCTTATTTTGATGCTTCCTGCATCATTCAGTATTGTGCCCATAGAATCTTTAAATATTGCAACTTGAGGCTTAAATTTTGTCCTCAGTTCTTTGAGCTTGAGAAATGTTGAGCATGTTCTTCTCTTTTGGTTCTCTAACTCCAGGCCTTCACACATTTCATGATAGTAATTGCCTTTGTCTGTTCAAGCTGCTTTTTGAAATCTGGATGCTGCCCAGCTACCATTACTGAACGTTTTGATCAAAGGTTCCACAGAAGAATCCTGATCAAAAAGGAGGGAATGTGGAACAGAATTTAAAATTCTCATGGATCCAGACTTTCTGGAGCCAGGGGGACTGGATGAATTCCTGACACTATTGGCCTGAGATCATCTTTAAACCTTAAACCAAAAATATCACCTGACGTCTTCTTAAAATCCAGCAGTAGTTTAGCTTAACCAGTAAAAAAAAAGCTGTGCCTTGAGCCTTATGCTCTTTCACAAGCTATACATATGGGATCAAATTGATAACAGTAGCTCCAAAGATTAGATGTCAACAGCAGCAACAAAAACAAACAAACAAACAAAAAAAACATTTCATGAGCTTGGAAAGAAAGGCCTATGAGTAAGGCCTTTCCTTCCTATGGTAAAGTTCATTTCTTACCTTTTGAAAGCAGGTGGCTAGCATTAGTGATGTGAGACATCAGAAAAGCACTCTGACCCTCTTTTGATATTGTCTGAACAAAACAAACCACACTCACTGTCATCAAATTGGTTATTACTCATAGCAACCCCTCCTTGGGTTTCAGAGGCAGTATCTCTGTGGAAGTAGATTGCCCAGACTTCCTTCCAAGGAGTGGCTGGTGGGTTTGAACTGCCAGCCTTCTGGTTAGCAGTCAAATGCCTTAGGCACAATGCCACCAGAATTGGATATTTTCTTTTTTAATTTTTATTGTGATTTGGGTGGAAGTTTACAGAGCAAATTCATTTTCCATACAGCAGTTCATATACCTTTTGCTTCATGACATTGACTGCAATTCCCCAAAATGTAACAGCTCTCTTCCCACTTCCTCCCTATAGTTACCTCTTCTCTGTGTCCTTCTTTCCTGTACATTCCTGCCCCCTGAGCTATCTCCCTGTACAAACACTGCCCTTCTGTTCTCCCATGATTGTTGTTCTAAGGAATGTATCTACCTGATGTAAATGTTCACCCTGTGTGCCTGTCTATTGTTTGGCTAGAAGCCACAAGAATGAGTCCCAGTTCCAGACCTGAAGGGTAACTAGGGTCCATAGTCTTAGGAGTCTCTCCAGGCTCTTTCAGACATGTAAGCTTGGTCTTTTTTTATGATTTTGAGTTTTGTTCCACATTGTTCTCCTACTCTATCCAGGATCTCCTGCACTGATCCCTTTCCAATTGGTTGACAGTGGTAGCTGGGCACCATCTAGTTCTTCTGGTCTCATAGTCACATAGGCAGAGGATGGCATGGTGTACTAGTCCCTTGACTAATTGTTTCCACGTGTCTATGGTTTTCTTCATTCTTCTTTGCTCTGGACATGGAGCAACCCATTGTTACATCTAGATGGCTGCTTGCAAGCTTTTAAGACCCCAGTTGCTACTCACCAAAGTAGAATGTAGAACAATATTTTTGTGTAATATGTTAAGCAATTGCGCTTGATGTCCCCTATGACCATGGTCCTGTGCCCTCAGATCCAACTGATCACTCCCTCAGGGTAGCTGGCTGTAGCCAAGAAGCCACAACTTTGCCCCTTGTCAGCTCCACTACACACTGAGACATTCTTACAGCACATACTTGTGTAGGAAATCATCTGCCAACCCTACACATGATCATGGGCACACTCTTCCCTGCCTAGACATACTTGATCACTTAGCCTGTCTACCCATCTGTCCACCTGTAGATCAGTGCTTGGCATCACTGACAATGCAGTACTGTACATGCAAAAGTGTTCATCTTTGTTGTCTATACCTCCCATGTACCTCTTTATGTCTTCTTCTTCCTCTGTACCACCCTGTTGATCACTCACTTTTAGTACATTGCCCTTTTGTTCACTCAAATCAATAGTTGTCTCTACCTATCTAGCAGTGTTCCCTCCCCTTCCCTGACATCCACATATTTTCTTTAAGATAGCAATCACCAAAGCATGTTCACACCCCAAAGAGATTAGCATAATTAGGGGAAAGATCTCTTGGTTAAGTTTAGGATACATTTGGTGAAACAGTATTAAATTTTCTTCATTGCAGTTCTCACAGCCCTTTCAAATATGCTTGTTATTTTTTTTTAAGAAGGGGGTTTAGTATATATAGCACATTACCGACCTTTATGAGGCAGACCTTTTTGTTTCTTGGGACCATATTTTAGGAAATGCTGGGTAAATGCACCACCTCAGAGAGGACTACATACTGTGAAATTCCAGAAAGACCTATCAAAATGACTTAAATAGATAAGGAACTAATTTGTCTCATGTAACAAAGTCTGTGTCTCATATAACAAGATTGTCCAGGGCTGGTACAGTACTAGATGATGTCTGGGAACCAGGTTCCTTCTATATTCTTTCTCTGGTATCCATGGCACATATGACTTTCACCTTACAGTCCCAGAATGACTGTATTGCCACCAGATATCATATCTGCATTCTAGGTAGGAAGAATGTGACCTTGCCAGATTTCTGCTCAAGTTGTTACCTAGAATGGCCTAGACAAGAATATAAGGGTTTCAGCTTTCCAGCTATTATATTTTCAGACATCAAAGGAAAAAGGGGAGGTAGGCTTGTCTTTAATCTTAATAAAAGCATTCATTGTCCCTCAAGTCCCTGTAATTCCTGGCTCTTGGTCCTGCAGGTGCTACGTATGATGGTTGGAGTCAATATCTCGGATGAGCAGCTGGGCAGCATTGCAGACAGGACCATCCAGGAGGCCGATCAGGATGGGGACAGCGCCATATCTTTCACAGAATTTGTTAAGGTCAGGCATTCACCTGAAAAAAAAAAAAGTTGTTTTTCTTTTTGAAAAGTTAAATTCTGCTGCATGGAAGGGGGAGGGGAATATTATACAGATAAGAGCTGGGGACAGTATCTACTGTTGTGACCTTCATAACTGTAATTGGATTTTTTTCTCCAGGTTTTGGAAAAGGTGGATGTAGAACAGAAAATGAGCATCCGATTTCTTCACTAAAGGACTGAGACCAAACTGTCCCTTGCTTTCTAGTATTTAAGAACTGGAAGTTGAGAGTCCTCCTTCCCACCAGCCCCACCTCCACCCCATCATTCCCCTTCTCCAAAGTACTGCTGTTGCATGAGCCCCAGATATGTTCTGTCGATACAGACCTGCCTTTGGTGTAAACAAGGCATTACAGAGTGGTACACCAAGCCCATTTCTTTTCAGTATCCATTCACTGGTTCTCCATTCAGAAATAATCATCTTTCCCTCTTCTGCTGCTGAATGCCACATGTCCATCCAGTCTAAGAAAGCAAGAGAGGCAGTGATGCCAAGTATCAGCCAGCAAAACTCCTTCACTGGATGTCAACGGTAGCTGCACTGCCAGCTAGGCTCTGGCATGCTTTTTCATCCTTTTTTAAATACGTCCTTTGCTTCTACTTCTCTATCATTCAACATACCATTCAGTCAGTCTGTCAATCTCTCTGCTTTTTATTAAGTCTCAAAATCCCTTCTGTTCTACTTGGCACCCAAGCTATGCCTGTTAAATATATTTCTGACTTGGCAGTATAATTCAGTGGTCTGGCAGTTTTTACTACCTTCATTCGTAAATGGGTCTCTGGGATGGTGCCTCTCCAGGAGCTTTTCCGTAACCAGCACTTCTGTCAGAAGAAAGTGACCGTCCCTTAGTTCCCTGCACTCTGCTCTGTCATCAAAGGGCTGCTACATGGAGATGTTCTTCTTGAATGGTGGTGACCTTGGTGAGAGGTGTAAAGCCGAGCCTCCTAGGTGGCTTGCTCAGGTCACTCTACTTCTGGCTTCTCATTCTCAACATACCAGTGTGACTACTCTTGTTAGTGCAGTGTTGATTCTTCAGAAAGTAGCCACATGCCTGGATTTTTGCTTAGTTTGTGGTACCGTCACCACTAGAATGGCTGTTGTGACCATATGCATGGGGACTTTCTCGTGGCTTCTTTGAGAAACCTCGGGCACCCTACAAAGCATCCTATTTACACCTCTGTGCATGGTTTATGCTTCAGTGTTATGTACACTGGAATGTTTCTCACTTCACATTTCCAAGTAGAAAGATTAGTGTTAAAGAAGTGCCTGACTTATCCCAATTCAAGAGATTTGAAGATTGTCTTCCATGTCTTTATGTTTTGCACAAAATTCTTTATGAATTTTACACTTGGAAAATGATTATATTAGAAGCTATAGTCAGTTCCTAGTACATGTCCAAAGCGTTGAATGTATTGTTAATGTTCGCTACCTAGTTACATTGGCTTCCTAGCTCCTCATGTAGACCGCTGCTAAGCCCTCAGAAATAAGGGGGCTGCATTGGTAATACAACCTGCGGTGGCATAACAGGCCTTTTAGCAAGCCAGAGCAATTTCTCTGCCAAACTCAGCTTAGGTTAGACCCTATTTGAATCAGGCTGTTGCCATCCTAACTGTCTGTCTGAGTCTTTTCATCCAAATATCCACCGTTGGCTGACTTCCTCTTACTCTTGATTGTTTGCTTCCCTGCTTGTTTCCTTGCTTTGGAAGGTGATCTGAGATGTATACATAATTCTTTAGGAAAGGAATTGCTAACGAATACCACTGCAAAGAGATGGGGAAGAGGTAGAGGAACGGGAACATCCTGGCTAGATGGCTCAAGTATAAAAGAATAATGAATTCTTTATGAAGTATCAGTCTGACTTTGTGATCAAGTGATGTAATTATAGGAATTGTATAAAAGGGAAAATTGATACTGAATCTGTTAAAGAGGTACATCAGAGACTCCTTGACTTGTGTATTTAAAATTCCTAAGATTATGGCTCCCCACCTCCTTTGGCTGCATAGCAAACTGTTTTAATCCACGGTTGTGCCTTATTGTTCCATTAAAATTGTATTCTTGATCCATCAATAAATATTTGTGGTTAAAATAAAAGAACTTGTTGAGTTTTGTCTGTATAACTCAGCCCCCTTTTTATATACCTCAGTGTCCGTCAGTTTTGAAATCACAATTTTTACCTGTAAAAATGGTGTGGCAGGGGCATCTGACCTACTCTGACGTCACAAGGGCTCCTTGTCCTTCTGGAGCATCAAGATGAGCAGCCCATAGCAGGTTCCTGTGAGGCAGAGTTCACACATTCCTCTGCCCTCAAACCTCTTTACTGGTTCTGACACTAGCCATCACTCCCACAGCACTCTCTACTTTTCTGCTAGGTTTGATAATTCATTGCAGTGGCTACACAGAACTCACAGACAACAGTCACAATTAAGACATTTATTAGGGAAATAAATTACAGTTCAGGATCAGAAATGACTCAGGATACACTTCCATCAGGATAGCCTTGTCTCAGCCATGCCCACAGGCAGGCCTCTCTGGCACTTGGCCCCTCAAACCTCTTGGGCGGGCCTTGCTGCTGCCCTGCTCAGAGTAGTGTTACAAAGCTCTTTAGTTCCATCAGTAAGTGTCCAGAGGCATCCCACCCTGCCAGTAAGCCTCAGACCAAAGGTGCTTGGCTTTCTCGCTCTGTGGGTCAGGGACAGTAGCTCCATCAAATACCCAGAGACATCCCAATCCACCAGCAAGCCTCCTGCCTGAAGGAGCTCGGCTTTCACTCCATTGGCCAGGAAGCCCTCTGCACCATCTCCTACCAGTTTCCTGGTTCTGGTGCCTCTGCTGCTGATGTGGTTTCTCAGCCACTGCTTCTCACTATTTCCTGCAATCTCTGGTATTACAGCTCTCCGTCTCCTGAGTCTTGGAGATTCTCAGCACAGGGATCCTTGGTCCAAAGGATGCACTTTGCTCCTATTTCTTCTCGATGGTAGTGAGGTCTGCCTGTCTGTCTCCAGGATGGCTCATTTTAAGCCTAGTGAGATGGCAAAACTCGCCAATCCTTTCCTTAAGGTTACATAGACCTTGTAGTTTCACCCCAACAAGGGTTCCATGAACTTTATTTGCTTTATTAGCAAGCTGTCCAATTCCCTTGGTGGGCCACAAGCACCTCATTTGTATAGTCCCTGCTTGAACAATTTCTCTTAGAAAGATCAGCACGAGGCCAGTCCCCATGAGGCGGAGGTCAAAGATGTCCCAAATGTCCAAACTACCATGCCACTCCATCATTTCAGAAATTAACTCCTCCTCCTCCCAGTAATTTCCCCAGTCTTAGGGTTCTGTATTTCGCTGTAACACCTCACAGAACTCACAGACACCCAAGGGTTCGTCTCACGCAGTAGTGGTGGAGTCTGGCAGGCTGGCAAGTCCCGGGTCCATGAGTAGGTCTGGCAGATCCTCCCAACTCTTGGGGTTTGATGAACCTCTATCAGCAGATCAGATGACGGCTGCTGTCCCAAATCCAGGGGTGAGATAAGGATGATCCAAGACACAAAGCTGGAGCAAGAGGAGAGCGAATCTTCCCAGGAGATTCAGTAGGTATACCCTCAGGGAAGCTAAGGGTGGTGATTTGAATTATACCCTCCAGCAAGGCAGGACTCAAGATACATTCCACCTGTGTTGCCCAACAGAATTAACCTAAATCCCATCACAGAGTCGATTGCCAGTCATTATAGGGAATGACTACTACCAGCTGCCCAGCCAAGTTGATACCTAACCTTAACTACTACAGCACCCCAAACAGGCATGGATAATGGGATTTACAAAACATCACAGAAAGGAGGACAATGGCTAGAAGGGCCACATCAAGCAATTCACTGCAGTCCACTGAGTCATTTGGTAGGAGTTATGAAGACCATTGCTAGGAGGCCATATTAAGTTATTCATTGCACCACATTCCCTTACTCAGATTTATTTCTGTGCTATAAAACACAGATCTGCTCTGCTGCTGCCTGGATGTACTAAAACCAAAACCAAACTCACTGCCATCGAGTTGATTCCAAGTCATAGTGACCCCCTTTGGGTTTCCAAGGTAGTAAATCTTTATGGAAGTAGATTGCCCAGTCTTCCTTCTGTGGAGTGACCGGTGAGTTTGAATCACCAGCTTTCTGGTTAGCAATCAAATACCTGGGCACTACACCACCAGAGCTCCCACGTAGATGTACTAGGTGGGGCATTATCTAGAGGCCAGTACTGTCTACCTCTGAGCCCAGCTCTATCAGCTTTGTCCACTTCGAATTTCATTTCAGGTAGAATTCAATGTCTAATTTTGACTCCCTGATTACTGAAATGTAGGAAAAGCCTAAAATTGGAATGTTTACCTATTTTTTTATTATTATTAAGTTATTTACCCACTCATGTGTAGCCTCTGTGACATACTCAGCTTTTACATGCCTTTTCATATCTTCAGGCTTACTCTGTGTGAGGTACCACTGTCTTTATTTTAAGGTTTAATGGTGGGCCACAGACCTCAAGGTAGTAATAGCTGGAATTCATCATCTGGACTCTAACATGAGGTCCTCTTGTCCTTTTCCCATTCCCCTGCCTCAAAAGTCCATTCACAATGACTTGTGTGGTACATCAGGTTTGCATATAATTTTTTGTTGTTAGGTGCTGTCTAATCAATTCAGACTCATAGTGACCCTGTGGATAAAAGAACAAAACACTGCCCAGTCATGCAGAATCCTCACAATCGTTGTTACACTTGAGCCTATTGTCATACCTTCTGTGTCAATCCATCTCCTTGAGAGTCTTCCCCTTTTCCACTAACCATCTACTTTACCAAGCATAATATCCTTCTCCAGGGAATGGTCCTTCCTGATAACATGATCAAAGTACAAGAGATGAAGTCTCACTATCCTTGCTTCTAAGGAGTGTTCTGGCAGTTCGTGGTATATTCAGTATTTGCCAACACCATGACTGACATGCATCAATTCTTTTTAAGTCTTTCTTATTCATTGTCCAGCTTTCACATGCGTATGAGGCAACTGGTTTCTTGACTGATTTCTTCCATGAACATTGCTTGTGGAACCAAGTAAAATTAAATCCTTTACAACTTCAATCTTTTCTCCATTTGTCATGATTTTGTTTATCAGTTCAGTTGTGAGGATTTTAGTTTTCTTTATGTTGAAGTA